ATGAAACACAGATAGACATTTCTCTGGTACTCTCTCGTGTCAGCTAAGATCCAGCTAGCATTGACTATAATGTCTGTAGTGCGACAGCCTCTTCTAAACCCAGCCTGCACAGTTGGCAGTTCTCTGTTGATGTACTATTGCAGTTGTCTGTGTATAATTTTCAGCAGGATCTTGCTTGCACTTGATATTAATGATATTGTTTGACAATTTCCATACTTTGTTGTGTAACCTTTTCTTTTAATGGGAATAAATATTCATCTCTTCTAGTCAATTGGCCAGCTGATTGTCCTCCAGATTCTTGCACAACCTGGTGTGTCCAGGACAGAATCTATTTGTTGAAATATTTCAATTGTATGCCATCAATTCCTGAGGCCTTGTTTTTTTGCCAATTCGTCCAGAGCAGCTTAAAGTTCCTTCTTTATCACCATAGGCTCTTGATCGTATATTGTTAATGGCATTCTTCTATGTTACCCAATTCTTTCTGGTATATGGTCACTCATTAGTAACATGATTCCAAGACCATATTGTTATATGAAAATCTACTTTATGGGGATATGGGGGATAATCAACTCAGATCACTGTATAGCACCTAACTACATCATTGTCTAACAGCCAAATTTTGCCTTTGCGGAACTGTCAAATTACAATCATTACATAACTGCCAAGCCACTGAAAAGCACTGACTGAACTATCACTGCTAATGTTACTATCTCCTCACACCTCAGTATTTGTTATGGCTAGATGTATATTGTGAATACAAACAAATAGACAGTTGATTTTTCATATTGCCAGAAATGCAAAATGTTTATAATAAAATAGTTCATAAGTGAGGAGTAAGTGCTTTATGATTCGTAAAACCAGCCCACTGCCTTTGAGTTCCTTCTAACTCATTGCAACGCTCCGTTAGGTTTCAGATGCTGTAAATCTTTTTTGGAGAGGCTGTCCATCTTATTTCTGAGAAGTGCTAGTGGGTTCAAACTGCTAAGCCTTTTGGTTTGCAGCTTTCCTGTGTAATCAAGTATGCCACCAGGGTTCCTTATAATTATTAGTGTTGTTTGCCATCAAGTTGGAACTAACCCACAGCTGACCTTCCAGCTTTTCAGAGGCATTTAATCACACAGGAGGAGATTGCCCCTCCTTCTTAATGCATCTATTTTCTTTTTTTTTCTATAATTATATTTTATTAATTTTCATAAACATTTACAGAGATTTTGGGCTTCCACTCATTCATTGTTGCACTATTCTCTCTACCCTCCTCCCAGTTTGTTCTTGTCCAAATGCCACAGTGCTTGTCAAAGCCAGTTCTGATTAATCTTCTTTGTCAGTGTATCCTTTGCCATTCCCTATCACTCCTCCCTGAGAGAGACTTCACCCTGAGTCATAAGGAAAAGGGGACGGCGTATTCTCTTAGCTACTTCCTGCTGAAAAGGGACGCTGTGGGTTTCAGGGTGAAGATCTTCTCTCACTACTCTAAAGGGCCCCTTTGGCAGTAGGAAACACATAGACTATTATGGAGATTGATTTTGGAATTCAGATGCACTCTTATTGATTGTGCTTGGCCGTACATGTTCATATCCTTGAAGATGTATCATGGGGGTGTTGCAACCTAGAAGACACAAATTTGACTAACAAGTTATAAGTACATGAGTCCAAAAATTATGGAAAAGTAAAAGAAAAGATTCTTTCATTGTTTTACAAACCCTCCCCCAGGTCCCCTCCACCATGCAGCCCTCGCTCTAGTCTCCTGTGATGACAGAAATACCCAGTTACATCTCTCTTTTAAACGGTTCTCTCCCTCCTCTGCTTCAGTGCAGTATACATTATTGAACCCATCTTACTCAGTCTCTCCCCAACCCCAAGGACAGTCCCATTCTACAACAGTGGCATCATGTAATATTTGTCCTTTTGTGACTGGGATATTTCACTCAGCATAATGTTCTCCAGAGTCAACCATTTTGAATAATATAATGCATCTATTTTCTAAAGATTGCTTGTTTATCTTTGGACACTGTATGCCATGGCCTGCCCAGGAAGGAATGAGATATGTGGATAAAATGTCAGAGACTTCTTTTCCTCACCCAAGTACTTTCCTGTTTCTCTTGGATGTGGGCTGCCAGCGAGGGTGCTTCCTGGACTCTCTTCCTTCAAAGGCCACACCTGTTCTAGCCTATAGGCAAATGACTATTACTTGCTGATTGTGACACTGTGGAGGTGTCAAAGGGTTACACCCCATGTCTGTTCCTACTGAACTTCCAGTAGCAATGTTAAGGGCCTTGCCCATCAGCTCGGAGCTCAGAACACACTCAGAAGCAATCTTGTCTCTCCTATAGCCTCATCTTACGTGCTTTAACCAGGGGTTTTATGTTGGGGGTGCCATGGGGTTGATTTCAACTCATAGTGACTTTAAGTTTGTACAGTCGAGATGCTTCGTAGGATTTTCAAGGCTCAGAGTTTTTGGGAAGTAGATTGCCAGAACTCACTAAGTGAGTTCAAACTGCCAACATTTAAGAGTTAATTTATAGGACTTCTGTAGCGGTTATTGCCCAAAAACCTTATGGAGAGATGACATTAACAGCAGCCCACAATAAAATACACACACACACACACACACACACACACACACACACACACAAGCAGGGAGTAACCGGCATGTAGGACCCACAATTTACTCTAACGCTCAGTTCATGATCTCCATACATGTTGTCATTTCTACTGATCTATTTTTTATATATGTTTGTTGGTTTTCAGACAATAATTCATTTACATTGTGTTTTCTACATATCCATTGCTTTCCATATAATCTTCATTTACATTGTGCTTCATATAATTATTCATATACACTGTATCTCAAATAATTAGTTACCATTAATCTATGTCTATTATTACACTGTCTTTTCAAGTCCCATTGAATTATTCCCATTTACCTTCCCTTTAGTCTACCCACTAAACTCTGAAATCCTAGTGATTGCCTCCAACCCTCTTTTATATACATTTTACTAGTTATCTTTCTGTCTTTACAATAATGATCTTACACAGTATTTGTCCTTATAAGACTTGGTTCACTCATCAAAATGCTCACTAGACTCTCCCATGTTATATAGTATTTTACAAAATCATAATTCCTTAGTGCTGCATAGTATTCCATTGTGTGAATGTACCATAATATCTCAAGCCATTCATTTGTTTATAGGCATTTGGGCTGTTTTAATATTTTTGCTATTGTGAATAATGCTGATATGAACATAGGTATACTAATTTCCATTTGTGTCTCAGTTCCAATTTCCTTGGGGTAAATTACCAGCAGTACAATAGCTGTGTCATAAGGGATTACTATGTAATCAGCTTTTTGAGAAAACATCAAACTGCCTTCCAGAGTGGTTGTACCATTTTACATTCCCACCAACAGTATGTGAGAGTTCCAATCTTCCCATATCCTCTCCAACATGTGTTGCCTGCTGTCCTGTTAAATTTTGCTATTGCTACTGGGGAAGGATGGTATCTTATTGTTTAGATTTGCATCTCTATTATTGCCAGTGATTTTGGATATTTCTTCATGTGTTTGTTGTCCATATGAATGCCTTTCTTTGTGAAAAGTCTTTTCATCTTTTTTGCCTGTTTTATAATTGGGTTTGCAGTCTTTTTCTTGTGGAGGCCCTGTAGGATTCTGTAAACTTTTGTTGTGAGACTCTTGTCTGAGATGTCATTGCCAAATGTTTTCTCCCAAGTCAATAGGTTATCTTTTCACTCTTAAAAAAAAGTTTCTGAAGCACACAGGGATTTACTTTTTAGAAGGTCCTGTTTGTCCATTTTGCTCTCTTCCGGCTGTGCATTTTTGGCTACATTTGCAAGCCTATTTATGCCATAGACTAGGCCTTCTAGATTTGGTCCCATTTTGTCTCATGATCCTTAGGGTTTTGGGCTGTATTGATCTATTATGTATGCAAATAATTTCTTTTTTTATTTGAAAATCTTTCTGATTCTTTCAACAATGCTGATATATTCTTTTTTAAAAATTAATTTTTATTTTTGTATTGATTTGCTTACAGTCTATATACATTATATTTCACACTATTCTTTATTCACATTCTGTTTCATACAATCATTCCCATGCATTATATTTCATAAATTAATCAACATTGAGCTATGCCCACCATTGCCCTGTCTTTCCAGATCCCCACTGATCTCTCCCATTTCCTTTACCCATTTCTCCCTCCACCCATCAAATTTTGTGACCCTATGATTTCCCCCTCCCCATCCTCACCCCTTTACTCTTACCTACCCCTCTTGGATCCTCATACCCATTTTACTAGTTATCTTTTTATTTCTACAACAACGGTCTTATACAGTATTTGATGTTATGATACTGAACTCACTAGCCCCTCCCAAGCTAGGTAGTGATTTTAAAAATCATTGTTCCTCACAAAAGGACAAATACCGCATGGTGCCACTGTTGTAAAACAGGAATGACATTGGGTTTGGGGGGAGACTGAGAAAGATGGGTTAAATAATGCATACTGCATTGAAACAGATGAGGGAGAAAACTGTTCAAAAGGGATATGTGATTAGGTATTTTTGTCATGACAGGAGTCCAGAGTGAAGGCTGCATAGTGGAGTGGACCTGGTGGGGAGGGATTGTAAAACAATGAAAGAATTTTTTTTTTACTTTTCCAAGAGGGTAGTGTACTTGGGGGGAAGTTTGGGAGGGGAGTTGTGCAACAATGAATGAATGGAAATCCAAAGTCTCTGTAAATTTTCATTGAAATTAATAATAAAAATGTTTTTAAAAAATCATTGTTCCTTAGTGCTGCATAGCATTCCATCATGTGAATGTACCACAGCTTCTCAATCCATTCATTTGTGGTTGGACATTTGAGCTGTTTCCATGTTCTTGCGATGGTAGATAACGCTGCTATGAACATTGGTGTACGAATCTCTGTTTATGCCTCAGTCCTAATTTTCTTGGCATATATTCTAAGCTGATATACTCTTAATCTTTTTAGCAAACTGGGACCCAAAAGTTTTCACTGCTTATGATGCGTTTCGTGTAAGTCTCATCTCATCAGAGCTTATTGTCCAAGAGGTGGAAACTCAGCGGAATGGAGTCAAAGTCATCTTTGATCTGGAAGGCTGGCAGTTTTCTCATGCCTTTCAGATTACTCCATCTGTGGCCAAGAAGATCGCGGCTGTGCTGACAGTGAGTGTTCCCTGAATATCTCCACATTGAGCTGTGAACTATCGTAATTCCAAGTGATATTTTAAAATTTGCATATGAATTACAGAAAGAGAAACAATAATGTTTTTATTGAAAATACTAAATGAAAATACTATACATGAGGCATAGATGCTTGGAAGTAAAAGGTCAAAATTCAGAAAAGAAAAATGTTGGAAATTGAAAAGATATTTAAAACCAGTAACCACAGACTTTTATACTTTAAAACAATTATGTGGTGGCTTTCCTCTAATATTGAAATGTTATTCTAAATATTTTAAATGACTCAAACTAATGTTTATACCTATGGTATACTGCAACTCTCACATGTATCGGTAGGTATAAATTAGCTCTATACTTTCAGAAATCAAAAGGTTTCAGAAGTGGTCTCTCTCTTTGACTCAGCAGTTTTATTTCTAGCAGTGTATGAGTAGAGGAGAACTGCCAAGGGAACAAACAAATACGTCTTGTTAAAGGGGCAGCCAGAGTGCTCCATAAAGGGAAGAATGGTGAGAGTCGGTGTCACAGATTTTGCTAGGAGAGGCAGGTCCTTGGAAAAGGACATCGTGCTTGGAAAAGAGACGGGTCAATGAAAATGGAGAAAAATGTTAGTGAGATGAATCCACATAGTGACTGTAATAAGAGGCTCAAGTAACGGAGATGATGAGGATGGCATAGGATAACTCACCGTCTTGTTCATGGGTTGCTATGAGTGTAGCTGACTAGACAGAACCACACAGCAACAACAATAAATATGTGTAGGATGGGACCGTATTTCATTCTGTTATACACTGGATCACTACGACTTAGGACCAACTTAACGGCATTTAACAAACAACAACAACAACAGAGTAAATATAGGAAAGACTATATACCGATGATACCTTTGGAAGATAATACTAATATGTGTTTCAAATGCACTATAATTTAATGTTCAAATCATGCCAATGAGATATGATTATTATTTTTTCCATTTTACAAATTAGCAAATTATACCAAAGAGGTGATGTAGCAATGCCAAAGCACAATTTGATCAGGTCATTTGAATGCAAAAGTTTTGCTTCTTAGAGGTAACTTCTTACACATAAAAAAAAATCACAACAGCATCATTTTTATAAAAAAAAATTGGAAACTTATTGTACTCAGAAATAGGAAAGTTGTTACTTAAATTATAGAACATCCATTAGATGGAGTATTACAATGATAGTAAAACACATGATTTTTTTTTTAAAAAAAACCCTATTACTATCAATGGAGTCCAAACATGAAAATTCTATGTTGTAGCTGTTGATTGAGTCTGAGTCGAGCATGACTCATAGCAACCCTATGAACAAAAGGCCTGATGCCCCTCTACAACTACCCACATTTATCAAAGTTCACAGAGTCGCTCCTAAAAATTTCTGCTTATTCTTAATGCATCACATTTGTTGAACATCCACTATATTGATAATGTCTATCAACAGTGGAACACCACAGTGCTGTGTTTGGATTTTTTCTTTTTTCTAAATTTTGTTTTAAACTGTGATTTTAATGAAAGTTTACAGAAAGGTTGGGTTTTTATTCAATCATCATTGCACATTTTGCTCCCTCCTTTCTCCCCGAGTCCACTTGTAGTGCATCTCTTGTTCCACATTGGCAGTTGTCATACATTCCCTTCAGATAATCCTTCCCTCATCTGTTCCTGTGGAGTATCCATCTAGGAATTCTTTCCCTCCTCTCTCCTTGACCCCCATGTTAGTCTTTTTTTATTACAAGGGTGTTATGCAGTATCTGTCCTTTTGTGACTAATATATTTCACATAGCATAAAGTCTTCCAGGGACCTAAAATCAAAGACTGTAAAATTCATCAGAGAAGTGAGTACAATGCTAAAAGCCTTATCTACAGTATAAACAGATTTCCAAGCAAAATGAAAACCTACAACCATGATAGAATAAAATAGATGAATGGGACCTTCTAAAAATCAAATCCCAAAGCACTTCAAAAACCTTTCTAACAGGGTAAAAAGGAAACACATACTGGGGATAAATATTTGCAGATCACATAGGGTCACTATGAGTTATGTGCTGATGACTTGAAACATTTGTTTTATGTGTTATTATACAGTCTTTCAACTTTTATGAGAATATGAATTTTTTTTTCCAAATCAGATCTTTTGGAAAAAATTTAAATAAATATGTTTAAAATTGTTGGTTGTTTCTTTAAAAGAATATACACATAAAATTTGTGACTGGAGAAGAAGATTTTTGGGCCTCATGAACATGTTGTTATTTCTTCAAATAATTTCTGTAAGCTACAAGGAGCTACATAGAGAGTTGCATTGCTAACCCTGGTGGCTTTTCAGGAGAAAGATGGGCAATCTCCTTTACAATTTGCATCATCCCAAACTCACAGATGAGTTGCTTTCTACTCCATAGCAATGAGTTTGAATTTGAAGCTAGAAAAAGAAACTTTCTTAGAAAGTTTTCATTGATCTATTGACTGTGAATTACAAAGTAAAATATGTGCTATTGATGGACTTTAAACTATGTGCTGATGATAGTTTTGAAAATAAAATCATACTTTAACTATTACTGTAAGTACAAAGAATGTTCAAAGAAGGAGCAAGTCATGAAGAATGTAGTGTTATGATATTTATTTATGATAAGTTTTTCTTTCTTTTTAAAAAGGATTCCTTTCCATTAAAAGTTCGAGGCATCCATTTGATAAACGAGCCAGCAGTTTTTCATGCTGTCTTTTCCATGATTAAACCATTCCTGACGGAAAAAATTAAGGAAAGGGTGAGTAAACACACACTCAGGTCCCTGTTCCTCTATATAAAAGGTTCCAGTTCTTTTTTTTAAGCATTACTTCATTACTCAGCTTACGTTCACCCAGAATTCTGAACCGGTCTTTCATACGCCACCTGCTTTTATGAAATGAAAACCGAACCTTAGTTAGTAAGGTTATGGTGTGGTGGTGTGGCAAAAGCATTAGGTTGCTAACCAGAAAGTCAGTAGTTCATACCTACCAACTATTCCGTGGGAGAAGGAGGACATATTTTGCTTTTGTAAAGATTTAGGGCCTTGAAACTCTATAAGAAAGACACTTTGTTCTGTCCTGAAGAGCTGCGGAGAGCCAGAGTTCACGTGGTGACAATTGGTTTTTCGGTTTGCTCTGTAGAGGACAGTGTAGCAGCTGTTGTCAAAATTAGACTGTTGGTGCTTCTGGGGATTTATCCTTCAGCTGTGCCCATAAGGAGGTATACACTAGTGGATTCATTACAGCCAAGATTGCAAGCTACCAGTGTCCTTTGGTAGGAGACTGGAATATGATATATACACATAGTATAATCTAACAAGGTTTCTAGGATATATCGTAAAGAAAAATAAGTAAAATGCAAAATACTTTAGGCCTGTTACCTTCTGTATAAAAAAATGGGGAAACAAACATAGTTACATTTGCATAAAATTAATGAAAGAATAGACAAGAAAATACTCTGTGACGTGCCACAGGGAACAGAATGGAGGTATGGAGCAGAGTGACTAGTATGGGGTGAAAGCAAGACTTCTTAGCATGTGCCTTTATGTGTTTTTCATAGCCATGTAAAGGTATTATCTATGCAGATGAAGTCTGTGCAACTGAAAACCACAGTCCTTTGAATGTGTAAGTTAATGCCATAGTAGGTAAAGGAAGAGTTGTTGTATACCCTGGAGTCAGAACCGACACATAGCTGACTCTCCAGCGGGTTTTCAGAGGCAGTTAATCACACAGGAAGTGATTGCACATCCTTCTCCCACAGAGCAGCTGGTGGTCTCAAAAGCTTGCTTTCAGGATTGCAGCACAGCTTCTTGCCACTAGGTCTCCAGAGCTCCCTAAATGAAGAGTAGTGTGATGTTTCTACTTAACCTGTTGCATCTTAATTACACATGATGTAATACCTCTTAGAATTTTTGAAATGCTGAAAAACTCCCCCCCATATCTGTTTCCAAAAATGTCAACCACCCATTTATATTAGTCTACAGAGGAGAAATTTCAAGAGTATTAATTTAGATAAATCTTGATATCATCTGATGTTTTGATCCAAAACCATTTTTTTAAGTTTTGATAATTTATATCTCAAAATTGTTTAAGTATAAACACTGCTAATATTGAATTTTACTAGCATATTCAAGATGTTTTAAGAAGGATGGGCTGCAGTCCCAAAGGCGCTCAGTTCGAATCCACACAAATTGCTCAGAAGATTTGGGAATTTCCTTCAATGAGATTGACTGCCTCTGAAAACCCACTGGAGTTCCAACTCAACAGCACGTAACAAAACACACAGAGCTTTAGTTAAGGAAGTGTAGTATCTTGTGCCCGGTCAGGAAATTTTGATACCCAAGCTTGTTTTTTTGGTTGTCTAGTGGATATTTTTGCCTGTCTTCAAGAAGAACCATCTTCATTATTTGCTTTAGTGATGATGCTTCAGTCACTTTTCATTCTGGCTTTTTGTTTTGAAGTCAATGTTTTTTTTTTGTTTTCTCTTCTCCAAGTCACTTTTCATTCTGGTTTTGGGTTTTTTAAAGTCAAGGTTTTTTTGTTTGTTTGTTTTTTCTTTTCAGAAACCATCTTGGAAATAGTTGGTCCTCCATTGCTTACCTAGAAAAGATATAAACAGACAAGACAAGGGTTTCTAATTTGGTTTACATTTTGAATGAATCTATTATGTAAGATAAAATGAACAAGAAAGAAAGAGCAATAACAAATTAAGAAATTGAAGAAGCATTTCATGTCAAGTCATGAAATAGCCTTTCAGAATAGGAAGAATAAACCAACCTTGCCACTTGCCTCTTTTTCAACTGTTTAGCTATGTCAAATAGCAAATAGCATAAAGTTATAAATATTTTAGCAATATTTTTCCCCTCTTCTTGAAGAGTTAGTAGAATTTTTCTCAATTAGAAGACAATATTTTTAATATTTCAGGAAAAATCAAGAATAGGGCCTGTGTGGTTCCCAAATGCAGTTAACTTGTTTTCAAAACCTCACAACACAGCACAGCTCTCAAACTCCCTGCAACTGAGTTGGAATCCACTCTTCGCTAACACTAGTGGATTTTCAGAGGCAATAATTTGCAAGAAAGGAGATTGCCCATTTTTCTCCTGAAAAGCAAATGATAGATTTGAACCACCTGCCTTTGGGTTGGCAGTACAACTCCTAACCTACTTAGTCCACCAGAGTTTCCATCATAAAGTTGCTGTTATGTATCATTGAGTCAGAACCAAGCTATAGCAGACCCTTCAGCAGGCTTTCAAAGGTAGTAAAACGCACAGATGGAGACTGCCCATATCTCTCCTGTGGAGCGGCTGGCAAATTTGAAACAAGTGCCTTCACGTTGGGAGCGCTGTTCCAAACCACTAGATCAGAGCTCCCTCACAGAGTAGTTACTTACAAAGTGATTGTTGAATGTATAGATGAACATTTAGCTCTAGCAAGCAGATAGAGAAAGGTTATTTGTTTCTTTATTAATGTTAGCAAGATGGGCTTTTGGCTTAAGACTCCACATTTTAATGTTAACATCAAAGTATTAGGTGATTAACTTTTACAACTTAAAAGATTTTAAAATTTAATGTTGTTAACTATCATAATTGTTCTTAATTTTGGCATTAGGTAAGTGTATCCATCAACTACATTATGTAAATTTTATATATATATAATTACACTTTCAGTTTTATGCTTATATTTAACTTAAATTAGCACCAGGGACTATATTTTTATCCTCTACAGAGTGTTATTGTTAGTTCAGGATCATAGATAGCTGATGTATAAGAGTTTGAAACCCTGCCCCATATTAGATATTTTGCTGAGAATTTTTTTTATGTCAAGAACAGAATATATGTAATTGTTCTATTTATATCTTAAAAATCTACTTATGAACAAGTATGTATTTATAAATCTGGTGTAGTTAGAGGGATAGAATTAGGAAAAAAATGTTAAGATTATTATGTTCATAGACAATCTTCTTAGATTCATAAGCAGAAAAGAGAATATAGTAACTATACACTTTCTTTCAAGTTTTTAAGCTTCTTTGTCTTCTGATGTTGATTTTTCATTAAAATGCGTCTGCTATATCATGTATGTTAGGTATACTTTCTAAACTATCTTGGCTATTTCAGATTCATATGCATGGGACCAATTATAAACAAAGCCTAGTTCAGCATTTTCCAGACATTCTTCCTCAGGAATATGGTGGTGATGAATTCTCCATGGAGGACCTTTGTCAGGAGTGGACAAATTTCATAATGAAGTCTGAAGATTATCTTCACAGCATTTCTCAGACCTGCCACTGAGAAGTTTTAAAAACAAGAATGACTTCCTAATTAAGCATACAGGAATGAAATACTAACAGATTGCATGAAAGAGAGAGAGAGGGGAATAGGGAGTGATGAAGAATGGAAAGAAGGAGGTACTTTTAAGCTAATTAATGGTGGTGGGTATATACTTAGAAGTGTAGAAACTTTCAGACATGAACATGTGGTATTTGGGTAGTTGGTTGGTTTTTTTAAAAATGCAGTTCCTTACCTTTGAAATAATGAAATGTTAGTACATTTTAAAAACATAAAAGAGATTCTTTATTCTTGCAATTCAAGAGATAACACAGCAAGCTATTTTTTAAAATGTGTATTTTTATGTTCCTGAAGATTTTCATCTTTAACAAGATTAATGTTAGTTTAATAGTAAATTTATAACATAGTCCTCTGAAAAAATATTGGGAAAAATAGGCTGACAGTTTAGAAACTACTCATTTTGGGTGGCAGATTAAATAAAATCTAGATTAGCTACTTTTGTGGTTCATCTCAGGGCTATTTTAGCACATTTGCACAGTAGGAACATTTTTAGAAAAATCTAGATATTATAAATTAACTCATATAGCATCTGTAAAACCCTAAAGCATTAGCCATGTTGATACAACTGATAAGCAAAACTAATGTGGAAAATATTTGAGGCCCAGTTGATGACTTCTCAATATTCTGTATTTTCCAGTACATCAAGAGCATTCCTTAGACTTCTATTTAGGCTTTTATCATTACAGCTATGTGTAATTTAAAGCTGAAAAAATATTTAGTTGTTTCATACATGAGCTTTACTTTTAAATTAACAATGAAATAGCTATTTAATGATGGGAAAGTGTTTACATTTTTGAAAAAAACATTACACTTGATATTTTCCAGATAAAGCACTTGCTTTTTCTATTGTACCAGAATATTTTAATCAAATTCTATAATTCCTGTTTACTTTCAAAATTAGTACATAAAAATATGTGCTGTATGTTATAGTTTTTTTCTAAAAATACTCTCATTTATTGAGAAAGATATAATCTCCATTTTAATATTTAATATAATTTCTAATATATGATGTAATTTTTATATGGAATATTTTGTCTTAATTTTATATTAAACTCAAAAATTAACTCACAAGATGTTAAAAATATGAATATTTATTTAGCTAGTTGAATTTCAACATTAATCATTCAATAATATCTTTGTTAAAGGATACATTAAGGGTGTTTTTCTTTATAAGAAAATTATTCTAATCAGATGAGCTGATATTTATGACTATACATATTATCCATGATAAAATTTAGAGTCATTGTGAATGTTCTTCAAGAACATGTTTGATTTTTTTGGCATTAAGAAGCTACTTTTAATTATTATAATTTTGTTTAAAAATCAGTTGCTGATTTTTGTGGGTTTTTTAAAAATTTAAGACTTGTTTACAAAAGCATATGATTCAATGTAGTTTAATAACAGATAAAGCAAGCTGAAAAGAAAAAAATATGTTTTGGCTTATCTGTCAGTTCTAGAAGAAGAATTACAGCATCAATTTCTACTTCATTTGCAAGTAGGTACTGCTGAACACTTTTTTATGACTCTGACCAAATGATTAGTTAATTTATGAGTAAAGAACATTCTAAATATCATTTAAGTTTTATTCCTGGTGATATCATTAACTAACAATTAAGATTTAGGCAAATAAATTACCCTTGTTTTATGGTGATACTTTGATATTTTTGTAAAATTCAATGTCTCTGAAGAGCATTAAAATAGAGTATGAAAAGAGCAGGGATTTTATGAGGTGGCAAGATAAATAATTGTCTACATGTCTGTTACTTTACTGTGATTGTATCAGAAGGGTCTTTTAAAAGGTTGTGTACTTATTGTGTTACTGAATGCACAATAATTTATTGACTTTTAATATTGTTCAAATGGAAATAAACATATTTCACATAACTATGCTTTGTTGACTTTTCAGTGTTTGAAATTTTTATTAGAAATTCCTTCTTAAAAACTGGGGTTTTTTTAAAGGACAATTTTTTCTTTTCTTCTTCTTTTTTTTTTTTTTTTTACAAATTTAAAATGACCACATCTAGTCAAGTCCACAGTAGATAGACCTTGACAGAATGGAGAACAGATCCTCAAACTCCTTAAAACTCCAACTAAAACCAAGACCTTCTGGCTGAACCTGGAGGATTCCCTTAGACTATTTTGAATCACTCTTCTAACCTGCAACAGAAACTCACTCCTGAGGTTACCTTGTTAGCTAAATAATAGATTGATTCATAAAAGAAGTGAATATTACCTATAAGTACTGCAATCCTTTAAAATAATTACCTGTGTGAGAACAAATGGTCAAGCAAACCCTCAGCCCCCAAAATAAAGTAACTCTTTTTTGGCAAGTCAGACTCCAAGGCTGTACATTTTTATGGGAGGAGATGGATCTGCTGGTTAATTTGAACTGCTGACCGGCATTAACACTGTAAATCATTACGGCTCAAAATTATCAACAATCACTTTAAAATCAAACTAAAGGAAATGGAACAAGCAGAATAAAAATAATGCGTTGTGAAGAATGTAACAAAATTTGTGTATAAATTTTCCAAGGGGAACCAAATCTGCTGTGGAAATCAAGAACACACGGTACAATACTACTTCTGTTTTGTCTTGTGGGTTTTTTCTTTTCCTTTTTTAAATTGGTTTGCTAACAAAGTTAGCATTGTGGTTCACACTACTCTTCATTCACATTGTGTTCCATACACTCATTCTCATGCATTATGTTTTATAAAATCAGTCACCATTGTACCTTGCCCATCATTACCCTGTCTTTTTTTCTGGATTCTTCACACTTACTTCCCCCCTCAAACTGTACAGCCCTGTGTTTCACCCCTTCCTATCTTCACTCCTCTGCCCCCTCCCCTCTTGGCTTCCTATACATGTTTTACTAGTTATTTTTACAATTTTACTACTATTTTTACAATAATGGTCTTATGCAGTATTTTGTCCTTGTGAGACTGACTGCATTAGTTCACTCAGCATAATACTCTTCTGTCTCTCCCAAGTTACATAGTATTTTTTTTAAAAAAATGTCACAACCAATTACTTTTTAAAAATATGACAGATCTATGCCTGTTATATACTTGCCATTTTTTTTTTTCGTTTATAAAGCTGTAATTACACTGATTTTCCCTACTACTGAGTTCAGCATCATTTTCTCCCAATATCATTTGTGGTTTAGAAAGGGAGAGAAGCTAGTTACATAACACTAAACAATACATAATTAAGAAGTGAAAACATCTAATGGAAAAAGAGCCATAGCGCACCCCTAAGCTAGGTATTAGATTTTGACACAGTCTGCTAGTACTCTGGTATTCTTGAGTGATGCAAACAGTTAATGTGTCTGGCTCATACTCAAGAGATTCCAGGACACCCAGAAGTACCTTGCTACCTGTGAAGCTGGTTGTGCAAATTCACCAGCTCCTCTTCAGGAGAAAGGTGTGGCAGCCTGCTTTTACAAAGATTTACTATCTTGGAAACATTACAGAGCTGTTCTACTTTGTCTTATAGACTCACTATGAGTCAAAATCACCTCAGTGGCAGTGGGTTGGATTTTTGCTTGTTTGTTTTAGATAGGAATGAGTACTGAAGAAAGGGAGAATAAGCCAAGAAATCACCCAAAGAGGTAGAGATAAGAAGGAACTGAGCATATCTGAAATAAAAAGGATGCAAGCGCATGGGCCATTTACTGAGAAACATGAATGCCGACCAAATCATGGGAGGTCCTGGACGTTAGCTGAAGGAAGCTGCATGTTGTTGTTATGTGCCATCGAGTCGCTTGCAACTCATAGCGACCCTATGTACAACAGCCCTAAACTCTGCTCTGTCCTGTGCCAGTCGCACTGCCTCTGACACTCCCAACCCGATTATCCCAGTCACTGAATCAATCCACCTCATAGAGGGCCTTTCCCTCCTGCGCTGTCCCTCCACCCTCCCAGGCATGATGTCCCTCTCCAAGGACCGGTCTCTCCTTACAACATGTCCAAAGTATGTTAGACGGAGCCTCAGAATCCTTGCCTCCAAGGAGCCACCCGGTTTAACCCTTTCCAGGACGAATCTGTTTGTTTTCCTAGCAGTCCATGGTATTCTCAATACTCTTCAGCACCACAGCTCAAAGGCATCAATTCTCCTTTTTTTTTTTTTTTTCTTCTCTCAATTCTCCTTCTATCCTCCTGCATAGGTTGCGTATTTTGTGCTGGGCACTGCATTCGATTTACATATGTTGCTTCATTTCAGTTTTGCATTAGCTTACTTTTACAGGAGAAGGGAAACTAAACTCCAAATGTTTCCACTCTTTGTTCAGAATGAAAGAGCTACTAAATGACTAAATCAGAGATTGCGAGGACGGTGCAGGACAGGGCAAGGTTCATGTCCGTTATGCATAGAATCGCTGTGAGTCGTAGTTGAGGAGACAACCCCTCGCAGTAACAACAACAAAACCCCGGATCAGATTGATCCTGACTGGTCTGACTGTAAAATCTACACACTTCACGATGCCTTGATGCTCCCTTGAGACCTAATTCCACAGGCCCATGGATCAGCAGCCACTGGATTCTACCAATGTATCTCAAAAGGTCTAACGGACTCACTTTTGCAGCAGCCTCCTCACTGGACTGCTGGTTTCCCGTTCAGCTGCCCTTTAACACGGCCCTTCTGCTACTGCCTGAGCTGTCTTTCTGCCAGAAGCCAGTCCTTGATCTTTGACAGCTGCTGTGCATACAGGGTAAATTAACAATTGGCACCAAGTCCTTCACACTCAGGCCCAACCTGCTTTTCTCTCCTCACACTGCAGGGCTCCTGACCCCACCCACACCCTAGGCATACCAGCCTTATCATCACTTTGAACAATTTCACCTTTTCCTCACAAGGTCTATCAGAAGGGGAGAAGGGGAGCATTTGGGGCTCCAAATCTTTGCTCTTATTGTTGGACCCACCAGACGAGCTTTCTCTTTCTGCAT